AGGGACAACCACTGGAAATACTTGGACAGTTTTCAGCATACGACAGGCACAACTATAGAACACTGGTGTCGGCTCTAGAACTCAGGTACGGAACCCAAAACTAGTCAGAAGTCTACAGGGCTAGGTTTAGGACGAGAGTCCGTGTTAAAGGGGAGCGCCTGCAAGAGCTGGTACAGGACTTGGAAAGCATGGCACACAAAGCCTACCCAACTGCACCACCCGATCTCCTCAAGTTGTTGCTGAGGGATCAGGCCACTTGGTGAAATAATCCATCACCACACAAATGTACCTGTTTCCAGCACGAGTTCGGGGTAATGGAATAGCAATGTCAATGGCTACTCTTTCTATTGGTGTGCCAACTTGATATAATTTCATTGGAGCATGTCCCTTATGCTTGGGTCCCCTTTTAGCACAACATGTACTGCATGTTCTGCACCATTCTTCCACATCTTGTCTCATACCTATCCAGTAAAATCTCTGCCATAGGTGACTAAGTTTTTTCTTAACTTCAAGATGTTCTCCTGTTAAACTATCATGGGATTGATGCAGCACAACTTCCCGGAACTTTCTTGGTATAACTGTTTGCCAGGTCGTCACTTTCCCATCTCTGAACAAGAATACCATCTTCAAGCTTCAACTTTTAGAAAATCAATTATTGGCTTCAACTCTTGGTCTTTCTCCTGCTTTGCTTTAATATCTATACCTGGTTCCACTTCACCATCATCAACTCCTTCAGTCACTTTGACTTCAGCTTGATGACACCTGGTTATAAAGTACCGTCGTTCAATGAAAATGAAGTTGACAAATATTTTCAACATTTTGAGAAGGTTGCCCAAACCATGAAATGGCCCATTATTATTACAAAGTGTCTTAACTGGTAATGAACAAAAAGCTTATACCACTATCTTTCTATAGAAGATTGTACAAATTATGATAAGGTTAAAGCAGCTATTCTCAAAGCATATGAGTTAATACCGGAAACTTATCGCCAAAAGTTTAGATGTTATCACAAACAAGAAAAAGAGGTTTATTGCATACTGGCAACTGTTTCGACAATATTAGACAATTGTGTCTAATTGAGGAATTTAAACATTGTGCACGTGATGACCTCAAACTTACTTGGATGAAAAGAAAGTTAAAACACTTCAGGAAGCAGCCGCTCTTTCCAATGACTGCACTTTAACACATAAAACCCCTTTTCATACAAAGAAATTCTTACCATCTCAACAAACACTTGTATCTGTTC